GAATTTTTCAAGAACAATAAGTGATCTAAAAATTACCTTAATGAAAGAGTGGAAAAAATTTGATATCTCTATTCTCCAGGAAATTTTATATTCAGTGCCATAAAGAATTGGTGTAGTATTGCATGCAGAGGGAAAACCGATCAAATACTAGCTGAAAAAAATAATTAAATATAATTAAATAAATTTTTGATCTTAATTTTAAAATCAGGTCTTATTTTTTGAGATAACTGTACATATCCACAAGCCCTATTTCAAAATAGTTCAAGAACATACTATTGATAAACCAGATAATTACTGGAAACTCACCTTCAATATTTAACTTAAAAAAATCACAATTTCAAGCTTTCTTTAACAATATAACAGTTGATCTAATCAAAACCAAAAGAAATATAGTCTAATAACAAATAGTTAAAAGCCAACATTATTAAATTCTACTTAACAAAAATATTCAATAGTATTCTTGCAATATATAATTCTGTATCATAAAAAGAGACATTACTAATATCAAATTGACATGGACAACAATGCATAACTAGGGCTCTGAAAAAGTATCGAACTAGTATCAAACTGATATCGAAATGGTACTGATCTATAATAAATTTAATATATGGATTGTGACCTACTTATATGTTTTTATAGTAAATTTAAGTATCAAACTTGTATCGAAGTGGTATCGTTAGGAGCCCTATGCTATACATGTTGCTGAAATTTATAGATCCTTGATGCAATTGATGCAATTATTTGACACAATTAATTAAGTCACTATTAAAACATATAAATAATTGAATCATGATGCAATTATTTTTGAAGATTTTGGAAATTGAGTCAACAGTAAAATAATTTACGTCACATGTATACCCTATGCATAACAACTATCTACTTCTTTTAAATAATATCAAAGAACTATTCTTTTCTCTTTATCTCATTATATTCCTTGCCACATATTACAATAATCAAATCTTCTATAATTTTATTACTACTTATAACAATTACTATCTTTTTCCTCAAGAAAAAAATTATTGTCCAAAAATCCAATAAAAATATACTTTACAAACGAAATATCAATTCATAGTTAATGTTTTGGTTCATCTTATTAAAAACTATACAAAAAACTTCTACTGACTCAATAATCAAGTGCCAACTTCAAATCCAATTGAATTTAAAAATATTAAAATATATCAATTGCCAAGTCAAAATTCTATATAGCAGATATATCAGAATAATAAATTTTCAGTAAAATAACAAAAATATAGTACTTGAATAGATTATAAAAAAAGAGCACAAGAGCCTTCCATCTCCAAATCCTATTAATAGCTTTTCAATTTCATAAATATTTCTAAAAACATATAACACTTTACATTTAATTAACTATATATATACCACCAGTGTCACACATTGGATAAAATTTGTTAATTACTATATTAATTTCTTTGATATCATTCTAAGTTAGTCAATAACCCATAAGATTCATATTAGAACTTATCTATAATGCCAACAAAAAATTAAAGAAAAGTGACCAATTAAAATTCAAAAGTTTGTTAATATTTATATCTATATAAAAGTAACCTCTGCCTATAATGTAATGCATATTCAAAAGACCAAATACATATTTTTTTATGCATTCATGTTTAATAAACAATAGAAAGGAAAAAAAAAACTTATAAATTATCTAAATAAAAGCTTACTTCAAGCAAATATTAAAAACAAATCTTTATCAATGTTTATAACAATATTAACACTGGATATAATAAATCTTATACTTGAAAACCTACAACTTTTATTGGACAAAATTCGAAATAATAAAAGTGATCTGTCAAATAAGGTACCCAAAATTTTTTATAAAGTTTGAAAAGAGTGATCAGCAACAGTTATCATATCATTGACCTTAAGAGTTAAATGGAAAAAAACTGATCATAAAATATGATCCCAATATCAAAAACAATAATACAACTTTTTATAAAATATTTAATACATTAGCAACCAATAATAACTTAATTAATAAAATTATTTTTACTTTTATAATTGTATTATTATTTTGAATAAGTATTAGTTATTTAATACTCAATATAAATCTATTTACTTGATGTAAGCTGGTATTAATAAAAAAGTTATAATAAGCTAAAATTAATTTATTCATATAATAATCTTTAATGTAATAGCTATAAACCCTCATTTAATAAAAGTTTTGTATTTAATGTCTATTTGTGATTTAAAAAAAAAATAATAATAATATATAGTATATATATTTAAAAATCTTATTAAAAAAAAATTATATATATATTTATTATATTGATTTTTAAAAAAAAAACAAATTTTTAAAAAAACTTTCTTCTAATTATATTTATTTTGTTAAAAATTTTTCTTTTATGATAATTTTAAGTAAAAAAAAATGATTTATTCTCTTTATCACAAGTAAATTTCAACTTAAGAACTTAAGAACCTTTAAAACAACTGGTGCAATAAGATGAAATCTTTAATTAAAGTTTATTTAAGTTTGAAAATCTTGCTTATCCTTTGATTATATAAGGAAAGATTTATGACAATTCTCTATTTTTTTGTTTTCTTGCATTCTTTCTTATCCTTATTCTATTATAAAAACTATTTACATTATTATTATTATACTTGCTAAAACAAATATTTTTTAAAATATATACTTAAATAGAATTAATAAATTTATTGCTTGTTTTAAGTTAATTTATAAATATTATTTTACTATGGTGATATTTATTGTACTATCTCAAATTCTTCAATGTTTTTACCTGATCAAAAAACTGAAATCAGTTTATTCCTTACTAATGATTAGTATTTATCAATTATCCAATTAGATTTTACTCAAAAATTAAAACAAAACCAAATCTGTTTAAATCAATTTTGTATTACAATAACAATTACAATAATAATTACAACAATAACATCAATCACATGTTCCTAACAACTATAACAACAAATAACTTTACATATATTCTATTATTTATAATAATCAAAAAGTTAAAAAAATAAGATTACAAATCTGTCCAGAAGTTTTTTTGAGGAAATAATTTATTTTCTACTTATAAATTCTATAATTTATTTGACTTAATTTTAGTTATAGTTATTTTTATTTATTTTTAATTTTTATATATTCAAAAAATCAAAAGATTTCATAAAATTTCCTGAGTTGATAGATATAATTACTATTCAGTATTATAATATTGATTTTGAAATTTTTTACAATATTAGTTAAATAATATTAAATAGGTAAGCTAGCATTTAATTTTCCTGAAATAATTAAAAAGATGTTGTTTCTTTCATGATATATACCTTGTTATATACAATATCAAATAAAAAAATAATGTTTACCTATGAAAAAAACCCCCTCTTCAAAAAAAGAAACAAATTTAATATAATGTAAAATTAATATATGATTTAAAAACAATAAATACTATTGATTAAAGTAATAATTACTTGAAAAATAAAAAAATTTGATTTAACATAATAATAAAAATCGTAGAATATAAAATTATGAATTATAAAATAATATTGAAAAGATTAATTTGTTTGCCACTACTGTAAATACTGTAAATACTGTAAATATATTTTCATTATTTGAATTGCATTAGCTGCTAAAGGACATGGATCACACGTGACTTTCTTAATAACGATAGGTCCCTCGGTTTTTTTTTTTTTTTTATAGATTCAGTTTGCAAGGATAATGTAATCATTGCATTATGGGCGAAGTTGTTCTGCGGATCGGTTCAGGGCACGAATAAATAACACTTGTTAGACGTCGGAGGTGCCACATGTAATTTACATCATAATTGGTCAAGTGTGCCAAGAAAGGAGCGAGTATCATCTTCCGAGATTTTTTACATGATTCTTTTTTTCAATCACTAACCAAAAGGGGAATTAATTGAACAAATAATAAGCCTTTGAATAAAGTGAAGAGATGGCTTTGCTTCTGCTGACAAATAACTCTACGGGAAAATCTTTGGAGTCATAGCCGTTATCTGATTTAGTTCTCACGCCCAATGCCTAAAAAGGGGTTGTCATTTTATCTCCGTCGTCGCGGGAACAGTTAGTATGGGTTAACAAGATTTTTATTAGCATCGGTTATGATCGAGGCTTTGATTTGCTTTTGTCACCAGGTCTTGAAAATTGTGCTGGATAATCAAGGGATAATCAGATCAAGTTGTATTGTTGATTAGACTCTCCTGGTCACACAGCAGCGCATCAAGAGAGTAGTACCTTGATCCTATTAAAATGTTGTCACACAGAAAAATTCACACGGATGGAGAATGTGAAATTTTTTTTTTTAGGATAAACAAACAATCTCCTGTTTCTCCTTTGTCTCTCTCATTGGTTATTAAATAAATATGTACGTATGTGCGCACAAGACAAACATTAAATGCGCAACTCGTAGATTTTCCAGTATTTCAAATTCATTCCGTTTCCAGCTAATTAAACTTTCCGAATATTATAGGGTTTTATGCTAATTTAGCCTTTAATGATATACTCGAATGAAGAGTCATAAGCCTCATTCGACTTTAAATAGCATACAAATAAGTGCATATGCTGATAGCGCATTTAGTGCATGTTGTCACGGATACGTTTACTTTTTTTTTTTCCAGAGACCAAAGCAAGCTAATCTAAAACCAACAAGTGTGCATAAAATTTTATGCTGGACTTTTGATACTGAAAATCTTGATTATTTAGACGCCAAAACCATAAGAATAGTAGTATACACTACTTTTTCACGCAGATCAGAGGATACATGCACCGTGATTCCTTAGTGAAACTGTAAACAACAATCGTCGTTGTCAATCCAATCGGAGTTCAAACTTATTCGCCTGGTAACCTATTTGGAAGTGCACATTTAAACATTTTCCAATGTACACAAACACGTTGTTGCATTTATAGGAATATGTATTAATTATATTCTGACTTCGTTTGAAGGAAAAGTGATATAAAAAGGCTTTTCGTATTCTTGTCGTTCTCCAAATAAACTTTTTCAAATCCAAGCAATGGGTGAACCAAATAGCTCGAATACGCGAGGGTATGTTCAAAGGTTTATAGTTTTGCCCATTAATGTGTACTACCAACGATTAAAGTTGATTTCTATACTGTCGACAGGCGCAAACCACGAAAATATAGCAAATCAACCGTTAACGCGAGAGTTAACAAAAAGAAATCAACTTCACCCAAGGTGGTCAAAAAAGAATTACTACTACCGGACAACAGGTCGCCGCAATTGACGCCTCCAAGCGAACCCGATCTTCCCACAGAATCATCATTCTTATCAATCTCAACTATTGCCACGATTGATCCGTCAATTACCGAATTAGCATCTAATGAAACACATGCATTCAACAGTGATCCTTCCATAACTAGCATTGCCATAGAAATATTCATGAACATCTGCGAACATCTTCCACCAAGTGATTTATTTTCACTCGTATTGGTTTGCCGAAAATTCAGAGAAATTTTGTGCAATGCATCTCCCGTTGCCCAAAAGATTTGGAAAACATCAAGGTTGAAGTTTTTACGATATCTCCAAAAGCCTGCTCCACCTGGTATGGACGAGAGGGGATATATTGTTCTCAGGCAGTTGGAGAAAGGATGTCAATTCTGCCAAGATCATGGATCTGGGTTTGTCAAAGTATACTGGGAATTTCGCGTGAGATGTTGTGAAATGTGTTTGGACAAACGGACCACGAGGTTTTTATTAGATTTTCCTAAAATTCGAATCGATAGTTATTTTGAAATAATATCTGACCTTCTTTTTGTAAATCTCGCAGGCGTGATATATTGTATATTGATTGGATCATCCCCGATATAGTGCTTCGCACTTTACCTTATATATATCGTGGTGCCGCTCAAGTCTATTGGACCAGCGATGTTCACAAAGCGATGGAACAGTACAATGCAATTTGTGAGAGTTGCGAAAATGAAGATGAGGTATTAAATTGGGTTGATGACCAACAAAGATTAGCAAACAGGATAATGGAAGAAGCCCCTTCTCGTGAACGAGAGGAACATGAAGAACAGATCTCAAAATTAGAAGAAAGCATTGATAAGTCATATCCAATGGTCAATGACGTGCAGCACATTCTCAGTAGGCAACCACAAATAATTCCACCCATGAGTAAGTTTCGTGAGGAATTCGTCGTTTATTAAACGCTCGTATAATATGCACATCAAATTAAAAAAAAATCAATTTCTTTAGATTTCATGCCCATGGGGTTGGCAAACCATTCCCTCGTCAGCCCGTTAGTTAGTCCAATATCAAATCCTGTCATGAATCCGCTGGTCAGTCCGATTAGTCCGATAAGCCCAGGCAGTCCGATGATAACAAATCCGATGGCAAATCCGACATTGATGTTTGCGAATTCGTTGCCGCAACTTAACCGGGGGCAATACGTAGTACCGACTCAATTTACTGGTGCATTACCTTACAATCGATCTCAATTTATGATCGCACCTCCTGTTCAGCGATTATATCCTGCGCAGTTTATGTCGCACATCAACAGACAAAATTGTTATGGGATAGGTCAGATGCAACAGCTTTATCGTTATTAATGTAAAAAAAAAAAAAAGTAACGGTGGTTTTCTTAAAAATTGTATATATTGTAAGAAAACGATCGACAAAAATAGTTTAAATACTTATCTCGCCCAAGTTGCCTAAGAAAAAGTGTTGTGAATAGCTTTCTAAAAAGAAAAAAAACAATAAAAATAAAGAATAATGTAAATACGAAAACGAATTTAATGTTTCCTTTAACGCATTCATTCGCGAATTCAATTTACTAATTTCTTTTGATGTCTGAGAAGCAATGGAATGATCTGCTTTATTCTTATTCTAATATCTCGACATTCTTGAAAAATATGGTGATTCTTATTAAATGAAATATGCGCCGTTCTACATTTTTAATAATCAAATGCCCAATACTAAAGGAAAAGGAGATGTGAAGGTATGAAATTTGGGAATTTAAGTTTGGGCATATGGATTTCACGTGTTTCACAAAGTAGTGCAAATCGATTTACCATAACTTTGGTACGCGTTATTAAAATTAGTTTGCAAAAAAAAAGTACTTTTAACTGTATGACTGAAGGAATGATGTTCAACGATTCGTTAGACCCTCTCGATTTACTTTCTCGCATAGAACAAGAAAAAAATGGCACGGAGACACACGCGACGTCGTTTTTTGGTATTTAGATAGACTTAAGTTTCGCGCTTTTTAACATATACTAACAAAAAACTTGTAAATATTTCAGGCCAAAACACGTTTAACCTTGAGGAAGAAAGAAACTATGTATCCATGATTCCAGAGTTATATTCACGACCAGTAGATGTCCTTTTAGAATCATTACCGGATCTGCAAAATGCTTTCCAAGTCACAAGGCCATCAAGCGAAGAGGATCAAACAAATGATTCTCTTGGCACCGAATCAAACCAAGAATTCGCTCCCGAAATTTCACCTTCCGTTTGGGATGTCATATTAAATTACAAAGATCATGTAATTGATAAATAATCATACTTCAAAAGTTGATTTTTAATTATATCATATAATAATAATATTTATATTTAATAGAGGCAAATGATATCTTGGGAATCAATTGGGCAATCTACAGAGGATATAAACAGAACGTCTCCATATTTAACCGAGGCAGACATAGCAACCTACGAGTCGGTGTGGCATAATCATTTTCACCATGAATTTTCTTACGGGAATACTGGTGTTGTTGTAGACCAAGAGCTCTTAATACAGGTTTAAATCTTTTCAATCAGAATCTTTTAATTCGAAATGTCGATCTAGTACCATGAAAAAAAAAACCCCTCTTTTTTTTACACGCACATAGAACATCTTAAATTTGGTTATTGGAATTCCTTCGACTTTATTCTATTATGATCCAACCAGAAAAATATTTAGCCCAAAGATATCAAACATTCGCATTAGAGGTTGTAGCGCTAAAAGTATGAGTATGTAAGTTATCTTTATTCTCTATTGGCAAAATTGACTTAGAGACCTTATATCTTTTACGATTGTAAATCAGGATGATGATTCGATTTTTGAACCTCGGAACTCATATCAAACGCTTGGAAAATGCCGCAGAGCGTTGCATGAAATCTGCGCCGTAAGTTTTGAGTTTTTATTGCATATTATATAAACGAAGTAAATTTTATTCTAACCCAATGAAATTATTATTATTATTATTCCAATTTAGTATATATGGTTTAACGGGGGTCGCCTTTGGTCGGTCTCTTTCCTCATTTATTTCACTCGTACGAAAGTCTACAATTGCGATGTTCGAAAAACACGAAGTGAAAGATAACACTAGAATTGTTGGTCTATATCACGTTATGGATGAAGTTTCGTTTGTAGTTGAGAAAATAGCTGCATTTTGTCGATGCGTATGCATCAAATGAAGATTTTCCTTGTCGTTAATGATCAAAAGGTTTTTTTTAAAAGAAAAAAATTGTCATTTTATTAGGATGTTGCGGACTCTAGATCTGCCGAGTTGTCACCTGAACAAAGTGATCAACGGGAGAAAGAAGGTTTTTATTTACCCTTTGGCTCAGGCACGTTATCGGAGATTTATACCACTGCCGAATCAATAGATTCAACTCGTTCTCCCTTCCTCAAGTCTACATTGTTGGCATTCTTGAAACAATCCAGTGAACCATTCTTTCAAATGTTGAACTCGTGGCTCGGAATATTTTCACCAACTAATCACGATCTGTTACCTATTGACGCGCCAAAGGGTGATTTTCGCGATCCATATAAGGAATTCTTTATCGTTAATTTTGAAATAGATGCTTCATTCGTGAAGCACGATGGAAATTGCTTTTGGCATGATGGAGTACAGGTAAGTTTGGATTATCTGTTTGGTTTTTTTAATAATCGTAATGCACCTATTTATTATCAAGGTTATTTCAGGTTAGCGATAAAAATCTCCTGCCAGCTTTCATTGATGCAGGGCTAGCACGTGATGTTCTGGAAGCTGGAAAGTCTTTGAGATTGTTGAGAGATTACCAACCGGATCATCCGCTGTGCCACGCGGGTACTATGTTAAATCCAATAACCAGTAAATCGGGGTGTGACATAAATATGAAATGGCTCTTTATCCAAGGAGATATTGATGAGTAGGTGAAGGATCAGTGTATGTTTGCGGTAAAATGGTCTAATTTCTATTTTGTTCGAGCATAATAATCTTTATACCTTGCTTTTTAAAACTAGGATGCAGGATCAACTTCAAAATTATTTTCGTGCTGTGACCATTGCTATCGTCGCGCAAGACGAACGTCGCAAATCGAAAATTGCGCGGGCTCAACAACATTACCAACATATGCTGTCAAAAAAAAAACAAGAGGTAGGAAGGAGTTCTTATTCGACATTAAACATTTTTCGCTAAACAATCTTAATCATCTCAATCTTTACTTCGAAGATTGAATTTCGACTCCTGAAAAAAAAAGAGTCCAAAAAAAACGAAAGTATGGAAATGATCAATAAAAAAAATGAATGGCGCAAAAGTATCGAGGTATCAAAGAGTTGATTATGGACTACGAAATTTTCAGTCAATATTACAACTGCCATTAATATTAATATTAATATTTATTAAATTAACGTGCAGCAATACCTTGTTGAAAAAAAACAAACCGACTTTTCTTTATTACCGAATAATTTTCGAAGGCCCGAAGTTGAGAGTCCCCTTGAAATGAAAGATATTGAAATGCTCGTAGATTCACCACAAGAGGTAATCAAGTCCTCATTGGCGTCTTTTGAAGAGAAAACACAGGAGCATCAGAGTACAGCGATTCAAGATGATGGTTTAAAATCAAATAATTCCGTTTCTAATATGGAAGATATATTTGACATTTATCAAAATGGCATCGAAAGTTCCGCATTTTCTGGTTCAGAGAACAACGACTCAACTATTGTTTTGTTAGAGAGGTTATTGCAAATTCAATCGTCAATATCTACCTATGCGCACAAGGAATATATCCTTCCACTGGGAGCAATCACAGAACTTGTTATTAGGAGAACACTTCTTTGTCACTGTAGATTAATTAACGCATCAATTTTGTCCATATTTTTTCATGACCTTGGTCTTCGTGCACATCTAAACGTTTTGAGAGATTTCATGCTTATGGGCAATGGGTCGTTTGTTTCTGGGTTGACAGATGCGCTGTTTAGTGATAATGTTGACCGAGGCGAAAGTTCGTATTCGACAAATTATAACATTGGAACGGGAGTTGGGATCCGATTAAACAGTCGCCAAACTTGGCCGCCTACTGGTGTTGAGTGGAAAATGGCTTTGAATGCAGTGAAGATTGAAGCCATTATGTCAGAAAGAAAATTAGAAAACGATAATCAATCACCCATTAACGTTTTGGGGAATGTTAATGACTTGGATAACATGCTTATGTTTGGAATCCGGAGCGGAGATGCTAGTAATTCGGTAGAAAGCCTAGACCCCAATTGTGAGTAGAATTTTCTTTTACATTGTCTTTACTATTCGTCCATCTGCAAATCCTAAAGATTGCTTCTAATTTTTATTATTATTGAAGCTTTAGAAGCTCTAGATTTTCTTTATTTGGAATATAAAGCTCCATATCCTATTAATGTGATAATAACTCCTAATGTACTCCAAAAATACAATACTCTTTTTACGTTTCTTTTACGAGTACTTCGACTGAGCATAGTGGTTCGTCACATATATCGTCTTTCGCATGATAGGTGTAACCCTGTTGATAATAGTGACGAATTGGCAGAAAATATTAAACTTATGCATAGATTTCAGTTTGAAGCGCAACAATTTGTTTTTACATTGCATGGATATATGTTTGACATAGCAATATCAGCTACATGGAAACATTTTATGAAACGACTAAACAAAATATCGGAAGAATCTGAGTTTGAATTACCTCGAGAACATCTGTGGGGACGAACGAGTAACAGTGACGCTGCAAGTTATTATGATGGTCAATCAGACACACGATCGGAGGAAGTTGATGATGAACCTGAAGGAGATGCTGTTGAAGGAGACGTTAAAGACCTCGAGTCATTGCGAGCATATCACGAACATGTCTTGGATAGAATGTTTTGGCAATGTCTACTCGAAACGAAACAGAAACCTCTAGCTGAGTTTCTTAATAGAATTCTCAAGGTGATACTTGAATTCGCACAGCAGTTACGATTACGTTATCGTCGGTATAATTCGGAACAACGGGAAGAATATTGGAATGAAATCAAAACTTTATATATAAAATTTCGAAAGTACACTGCGAAATTGGTAAATTGCCTTATGGAGTACGAAGAAAAGGGGGGTGGTAGGCTGGGGTTGGGGATTAAACGCTGTAATATCGGTCCAAAAACCCATAAAACAAGTGGAAAATCTTATCATGATAAGATAGATAATCAATCAGGTGTGAGGGGATTTTTACAAGAATTGTTAGTAAGGTTGGATTTTAATGGGCATTACGCCCGTGTTTATGCGGATGAGGTAAAGAAACAATCAAAATGAAAAAAAAAAAATTCGATGTTTAAATGTATGTATTCTGGATAGTGATGTGCAAAAGAACGTAAGTTTCATGCGATGCAATTTTTAATGGAATTGATATTGGTTGATTTTAGAGTTCTTCACATTTAATTTTATGTAAGCGTACAAGGATAAATGTTGATGAAAAAAAGATCTTGCCTATACACAAATGTTTATTTAATGGGTAAGGAAAAGCCTATAATAAAATCTAAGAGTCAATTCGGTCACGGATTATATCTTAACATCACTTACTAAATGGTATTTCTGCATATATAAATTCATAATATAATGAACAATTTATTCTTGTTAAATTATATATTAAATAACAAATGCTTTCACTTATAATTAATATTTGGTTAATATTCAATGAACCTTAAAAATATTGGTGATTTATTATGATTTTATTTAAAAAATTCGTATTTGAAGCCACGATATTAATAAAAAAGTAAATAATTGTTATTATCTTATATCATTTTTTTTTTAGATTAAAAAATTTTTTTAAAAAAAGTATTTATAATTTCATGAAGTTAAAAAATGGACTTCAATTTTTTTTTTGTTAAAAAACTTTATATAAATTTATAAAATACTGTATATAATTTTATAAATATGAAAAAAATGTTTTTTATTTATAATAATAATAATAACAATATATTTTTAAAATAACAATACTAAAAAAAAACTCTCACCCGTTCACCACTGATTTCTTGAAAATTTCCTTATATGATAATTTTCTTGAAAGAAGCGCTTTCCTCTCTCTCTTCAATATGCC